ATCCCAATCCCAGGACAAGGTGGGTGAGCCTTGCACACACATACACATACATGCACACACCTGTGCACACACACACCTGTGTTAGTGCCCACCCATGGGCACACTTGTGTGTGTGTGTGAGAGGGGCCCATGGCCCTGTGTGTGTGTGTGCTCACACCTGTGGACGTGTGTGCACACACACATGTGTGTCTCTATGTGTACAGCCTTCCTAAAAGGATCTCAGGCCCAAAATCCCAATCCCAGGGCAAGGGTGAGGTGGGTGAGCCTTGCACACCCACACACACCTGTGCTCACACCTGTGGACATGTGTGCACACACACGTGTGTCTCTACATGTGCAGCCTTCCTAAAAGGATCTCAGGCCCAAAATCCCAATCCCAGGACAAGGTGGGTGAGCCTTGCACACACACACACACACACACACACACACGCACACAGAGGAGTGTGTCTCTACATTTACAGCTTTCCTAAAAGAATTTCAGGCCCAAAATTCCAATTCCAGTCCCAGGGCGAGGTGGTGAGCATTGCACACACACACACACACACACACACACACACACACCTGTGCACACCCACCTGTGCACACCCACCTGTGCACACACACATTCCCATCCCACCCCTGGTACCTGGGGACCCCCACAGGGTCCCCCCACAGTGAGGTGGCACCCGAGCTGTCCCCGCTGTGCCATCCAGCCTGGGGGCTCATGGCACACATTGGGGACCTGGTGGCACCCCCAGGGGACAGAGGGGTGGTGCTGGGTCTGGGTGTCCCGATAACGGCCCCGACCTTATCTGGGCACTGCCAAGGGCTCCCCTCCCTGCCCAGCCTCGGGGATTTTGGGGGTCCCTCCCCGCCCTGTGCCCACCTGTCCCCCCCAGCCCGGTTCTCTTGGCAGAGGCACCCCGGTGGTGGGCACAGGGAGGTGGCACATGTCCCCACGGGGGTGTCTGAGTGCTGAGGGTGACTGATTTATTTGGGGGCTGTTTGGTGGAGGTTTATGTGGCTGCTGTGGGATTCACCAGCCTTGTTCCCAATTTCTCTGTCGCAACAAGGGGGAAACTGAGGCACGCTAAAGAACGGGGCTGGGGGCGCTGCCCCTCGGCACAGGCACCCCCGCCCACCCCATGAAGGTGGTGGGATCAGACCCCCGGGGGGATGGGGGGGGTGATGCTCAGCCCCCCAAAACGGGGATGGATGCAGGGCAAGGCACAGGGTGCTGATCTGAGCCTGGGGTGGGCAAAAACCCCCCAAAACCCTG